AGGCTTAGTTACTTCTTACCAGAACATGGCGCATTTCTCAAGGGTTACCCTGCAAACACTTGAAGACCCCATCTGTTTGTAAACGCATGCAATGTGCATGGTCAGAGAATGGTTGAGTCAACTAGAACAGATTCAGAGCCCTTGTTTCCATAAACAGGAATGAGCACAACCTTTAGGAATTTATTAGATATGGGGGGAGGTGGGAGGGTCTCAAGGATTTCCTCCCCTTCCCCCAGGCTGGCCTTAAACCACGATCCTCCTGATCTCTGCCTCTCAAGCAGCTAGGATTACAAACGGGAGTCACCACCGAACCCAACCATTACCACTCACTTGCTAGATGTTCTTTTCAGAAAAATCTAGACTCACCTCGATGCAGACTTAGCAGCTGTCCATTCAAGTACATTTCATCACTAAACACAATAAAAAGAATTGTGATTTATTCTAAGCTATGATCTTAAAACATAATTGCTCTTCAAATTATTTGTCCAGAGGTAAAATTTGCTGCCACTAGAAACATTAAAAAGTCCACTTCACAAATGCACTGTCCAAAAGAATGCTGGACACTTGAAATGTGGCTGGTTCAAATGAAGGACTTGCAAATTTAAATAGCCACATGTGGATAAGGGCTACTGTTGGGGGCAGCAAACACAGAGCAGAGTGCCGTGCTGCTCTCAACATGTGGAGCTGGATCCCAAGGATCAAGGTGTGACCACTTGGGGGCTTGCTGGAAACATAGAAATGGGCTTGACTCCAGGCCTAAGTCAGAAGAGCCAACAGACTCAGGGGTACAATGAAACTTGAAAGGCTTTCGTTTATCTTGGTTTGCAATGGGCACACAATCACTGAGTGTCACTGTACCCAGGGAAATTTGTTGACTCTTTGGAACCATTACTGGTAGTGTACTTCTGGCATTTGCAGGAACAATACACAGAACCCAATGACAGCAGTTCAAAGCTAACCTGGGCAGGCAAGTCCGTGAGATTCTCATCACCAATAAAGCCAGAAGTGATACTGTGGCTCAAGGGCAGCACCCAGGCCGTGTGTTCAAGCCCAAGGACAGGCACAAAAAACAAAACAAAAACACATAAAACAGTACCTCTGTACCTGCACCACTGCATTTGGTTCAGTATTTTTTTCAACATTTCAGATTTAGCAAAACTAGGTGTTAGCTCATCACCTGCATTTGAAAAAAAAAAACACAACTGGGCAAATAAACCATCTTATTTGTATTAACAATGGTGTCTCAATGAGAAAACTGCAAGAACCCAAAGTAAAACACAAAGCTACTTTGTCGTTCACAAAGACGAAACAGATGATGGCCATATACGTGGACAATGGTATGGGTTTCATCCGGAGGAGAGTAGCGGCAACATAGCACCGCTAAAGAGAGGCAAATTGTTTTCGCTACACTTAGCATACAAAGATACAACTATCACCAAACAGTGTAGTCTTTGAAGGCAAAAATGCTTTTGAAAAGGAGGGAAAGATAATGGATGGATGGACTGAGTCATTTCACCGAAAAGGGTACATCCATATAACACGTAAGGAAAAGATATTTTGCATGTGCTTTAACAATGTCCCAAACTGTTATGTGATTTAAAAGAAAAAAAAAAACTATGGGCTGGGAAGATGGCTCAGTGGTAGAGCGCTTGCCTTGCATGCCTGAGGCCCTCGGTTCGATTACTCAGCACCACATAAGCAAAAAGAAAAAAGCTGGAAGTGGTGCTGTGGCTCATGTGGTAGAGCGCTAGCCTTGAGCTGAAGAGCTGAGGGACAGCGCCCAGGCCCAGAGTACAGGCCCCACAACCGGACCCAAAAATAAAAAATTAAAAAAAAAAATCTATGCTGGTAAAATGACTCTTGCAGTTCAAAGAAAAAAATATGTACATGCACATACATACAACTGGTATATAAACACCAAGTTTCTACACACAAGAAATTTGAGTGGTACCTTAGAATTGAAGGATACCAGAAATGTTCACCTTTTATCCTTCTGTTGAGAAGAAAAAGAACCATGTTGGGAAAAACATGGAAGAAAAAAAGGCATGCTACTCCTAAAATTATAGCAATGCATGCATACATACTAAAAAAAAGTTGAATAAGTGGTGAAAAATCTTGCAAGTACTGTCACATAATCACAAACTGAACCCCAGGCTTTACTGGACAATCATAGTTCTGGAACATTAAAGAGAAACTTAATTTCAACCACAATTTGTATGTGCAGTGTTGCTCCAGTCCTCTTACAGTATGATCCACTCAGACACGAAGGATAAAGTATCAGCACAATCAGCCCCTGGCTCTCCTTTACACCTCCAGGAAAGTACATTTTAGCCCTACTTCAACAACAGAAGCTATCTGCAACTTCATGGAGACAGCATTCATTTTGAATGTGTTGCTTTTCAAACGTCTTTACAGTAGGGATCTGGTTGTTCGTTCTAGCTGTACAGTCGGCACAGCGAAGTGCTCAACATTTTTTCTTAGCCAGTGAAGGCAGCAAAGTGACTTCTGGGCAAAACTATGAGGAAATTTATGTAAGCCCTGAAGTACAGAAAGCAGCAAAATTGTATGTGAAAAACACTCTTCAGGTTTCCTGATATTATGACTATAATTTGTTTTCAGCATGGAGGAAAAGTCACAGTAAGAGAAGTCTAGAACTACCTGAGCTAGTAGGAAGGCAGACCATCTACCCTGGGATTCACAGTAAGGAGAATGACAAGACTATTACTTTAAGATGTTATGGAATGGGATCAAAATAATGAGAGCAAATCCTCCAGTTATGAGGCATGTATGTACAACAGCTCTCACTACTTTGAAGAATAAGGGACAAATGAACTGATTTGAATTACTAGGGAAAGCAGGAAAGTGTCTGTGATGAAGGCCCAGGAGTAGCTAACGCTGCCTTGTACATAATGTTACAGCAATAATAATAATAAAAAAATGACCAGAGTATGGTGGTATACACCTGTCATCCCAGAACTTGAAACAGGAGGAATTTGAAGCTAGAAGATGATGTCTCAAAACCCACCTCTCTCTCCCCCACAAGCTAGGGGTAGAGCTCAAATCCCAGATTGGTTAAAAGCAAAGCAAAAGAATCCCCACTCCCAAAAATACTTCCTCCACACATGGTTTGTCAGTCATGGGGCTTTAACCCGGGCCTGGACACTGTCCTTGAGCTTTTTGCTTAGCACTCTACTACTTGGGCCACAGCACCACTTCTGGTTTCCTGGTGATTAATTAGAGGTAAGTGTGGTGGACTTTTCTGACTAGGCTGGCTTCGAACCACAATCTTCAGACCCCAGCCTCCTGAACAGCTAGGACTACAGGCACAATCCACCAGCACCCAGCAAGTTTTAATTTAAATCTGATCTATGCCAAGCTGGAAAGCTGTTTTTGTATTACTTAATAATTAAGTCAGTCTACAAAAAAAAGGTAGAGGACTTGAGATTAGCTTATGTTAAAATTATAAAAGCTCAAACTATCACGATACCTTATTTCCTTATAGAACTACAGCCTGCTGTGTGCCAGTACTCCACCACTAAGCTACTTTTACTTTTGTTATTGGTGGTCCTGGAGCTTGTTGGTCTGGGCCTGGACATTGTCCCTCAGATATTCAGCTCAAGGCAAGCTCTCTACCATTTGAACCACAGTACTCTGGTAGTTAATTGGAGACTTTCCTACCCAGGCTGGCTTTGAACCACAATCCTCAGATCTCCTCAGCCTCCTAAGGGACTAGGATTACAGGCATGAGCCACCAGTATCTGGCTGCTACTCTCATTCTAAGACAAGGTCTTAATGTAGCTTATACTGGTCTTAAACTTTGAGATTATCTTGCAGTATGCATACTTTGCCTGGATTCTTACTAAATTGCCCTTGTGAATAACTTCAACACAGAATCCAGACTCCTTATCAAACATTTTGCTTTACAAACTGCCATCTATCTTAGAATATAACAAGTTATTTCTGAAAATATTCACTTACACTACACTTCTGTAAACACCTTTAACTTGGTCTCTGTGTACTCAAAACTCAACTTTTGCAAATTGGTAAAAGCGTATTTTTTCATTATTAGCTTCATTACCACAGGAAGGAAAAGAGAAAAATTTACATGCCTGACTTACAAAGAATAATCTGAGGTAACTCAGATAGGCCTTCTCTGTTTAAGTATGAACCAAATTTCTAGGATTCAAATTATCTATAGCTGAATAAAAGCTATGCTATTTAAAATCTCAGTGTCTTTGCTTCTTCATTTGTAAAGTGGGGATAGTGCCTGCATATGACAGGGTTACTGTACAGGTTAATGTGCACATTAAGGTGTTGTTATTCAACTACTAGTATGCATAAATACTCCTGTAGAATTGGTAACTATTTTCAATCGAATAAATGAAGCCACATCCTACAGTAAACTTACTCATCCATTCTACATTATGAAATAGATTCATTTGTAAGGTTGTCTTGAACAGAAAGAGTAAGATAGGATAGCTATGAAAATTGCAAGACATGATATGTAAGTCACAATTGCCAAGTGATTTAAAATCATTTATCATACTCTGTCCCAATGGAGAAAAATTAAAACATTCTAAACTGTGTTAATGAAATGCTTTTTTCTAACTTCAGAACCCTTTACATTTAATCTATTCTTCCTCAGGCCCTAAATACTGACACTTTCAAACTGGACATCTTAGCATTACCGAAATTGTGAGTATTAATTTCTAAGAGACGTACCAGTCCAGTCACACTTGCTGCCAACACACCACCACCAAATGACTTTTAAGCAAGTTCTTAAAATGCTCATGACTGTACATTATAGACAGACAATGTAACTCAGCTAAACCAATCACTCCTGCTTAAACGGCAGACATTAGATACAGAATGTTGAGATTATAAATAGAAGCTTCAGCATTTCTAAAATACTGAACTGGAGGTGTTAACAGCACTGAAAGCATTCAGCTGGTAATTTACGTTACCATATTAAAAGTTTTTAAATTCTACAATGAAACCAATGCTATTCATTTCATGTTTATTTTATAAGGATCTTTGTCAAGTTTATCAATTTGAAAACAATAAATTCATCATCAACACTTAAAAGACAAATTTTCCTCATGTCTTAGATATCCATTCTGCTACCTACAATTAGGCTTACCCTTAATCTACAATAGCCGTATTTCATTTCACAACATCTGAACTATATATACAAGTATGTATTATCAACAAAATATTTTCAAGTTGCCTTCAAATGATACCAACAAAGAGTAGATCAAGTTTTCAAGTGTACAGAAAACCATACTACAACAATTGACCAATATAAATATGTGTTAATACTCCTTTATTACATTCTATTTAGATAGCAACACTAATAAAATTCTCAATGCATATGCCCCCACCACCTGTACTTTATTTTCTATGCTAGCATTCTGACCCTTATGTAATGTAAGAACATCTTAATTTAGCAACCAAGTTGGACAACCACGGTTCCTATCAAATGGTGATGCACCAAAATCCCAATTCTCATGAATTTTAACATACTGAAAGTACATTATTTACGTAGGATGGGAGGATGTGCCTTAACTTGATTTAAAAAAAAGATAGCCACATCAGTTTAATTCCATATATATGATACTACCTATGCAATTTATTAAAATTGTAATAAACATAATAAACTAGTGCTCCAAACTTATGCTGTTCATATGGAAGACACAAGAGAAGACACAATAGAGACTGCCTTGCAATAACAAGTACAAATTCCTTCTATAGAGATGTAGAAATAAAAGGACAAATCTACTTGTCTAAAAGACAATTGACTGTACACATTTTATTTACAGTTTTGTACACTGTCTTAATAAGAATGGGACCGCTTCTCTACTTGAGCCATTTTTAACCAAAGCAAAATAACCTAAGTAATACAAAGTGTTAAAATACAGCATAAAGGTACAAAAACAGACATACTAATTCTAGTTAGGAATGTAATTATGATGTTACATTTTTTATAATCCACAATTATGTTTAGGAAATCACATAAACATAGATCACTGATTTGAATAAAATGCATAAACTTGAAGCAAAGCTTTGTAGTTACAAAAAACAAAAAAGTTACCAAAGAATGCACAAAATTAATGTTTATTCCACCTTTGTGTCATATTCCTGGATCCTTCACCAATGTTACATGAGGAAAAAACAAAAGCAAAACAAATGAAAAACTGAAATCAGAATCACTAATGTTATCAAGTAGGGAAACAAATAAATTAAAATCTAGCAGCCATCAGCAAGAGTACAGCAAAGATACTGCTGTAAAAAGAAACAAAGAAAATTGCTAGAAAACTGTATGCATCATATTCTTTCAAACCAGCAAAATATGCTCCTGCATAAAATGGAACAGATTTTTTTTTCCTATTAAGGTATAGAAACTCAAGTTCTTTTCGAATATTGTGGATGGGCAAATGTGTTTGTAATGGTAATTCTACTAGGCTTTTACAGAGTGAGCCAGGAACACATTTATAGATTCTGGGGATGACATGTACTGTAATTCTTTGATTTGTATAGTGGACACTCTAGCAAAAGTTAAAAAAAAAAAAAAATGAACACAGAAGTACAAGACAAAGGCGAATGAGACTTCTCTTATATCTTAGTAACATTTAGATGGAATCAAATTTAAATGCAGTCCACTCTGCTTTGATGAGGCTTTGGTTCAGCTCCCAATCTCGATTGCTTGACGCAGTCTCCTATGAGAACACTCAGAAGGTGTCTTCTTAAACAACAAACCTATTTTTAGTGGTGGAGCCGCTCTTAGTAGCTGTGTCTGCATGGGACTGATAACCAATCACTATCTTTGGAGGAAGTCCTAACCTTTCCTTGTATACCCTCCTAGAAGACAAAAAAGTAAATATTATTCATCAAAAACTTTCAATTTGTCTTTACATAACAATTATTTACATGAGAGTAAAACGTAAATTCATTTCCTTTTAGCAAAATTTTCTCTATTTTGACAAACTTGGTTAAGAGCCATTCACGTGTGTGAGAGTGTGTGTGTGTGTGTGTGTGTGTGTGTGTGAGAGAGAGAGAGAGAGAAAGCGCGCACGCGCGGGCGAGAGAGACACAAAAGCAGGATCAATACCCTCACAGCATTTATAGCTTAGTCAGGAAAAGATAACCAAGTGGTATGTACATGTCTACTTTCATTTTTTTGATTGTATTGAGTTACTGTAGTGGCCTATGAGTTTGTGTGGGCTGTACAGCCAAGACCTTGTGTCAAAAAAAAAAAATAAATAAATGCCTAAGAGTAAAGTGTATTTTTCACATAAAATCTAGTAAATGCTGTGTATCACTACAAATTACATTTACCATATCTACCTCCAATGAGATCACATACACAAAAAAGAACAATTAGAGGCAAACTCAGTATTCTCCAGATACATATACATAATTTTCTGCCTTCTACACTAACTTTAACACCAAATTTCCAAGAGATGTGATTAAGAACAAAATGCGATGAGTACCGATTAGTATTGCAACTAAGGACTATGAGACTATATAAATTGGAGGAAGAGGATGTAATCTCATCAATAATATTAAAGAAATCCCCCCTTCACGGCTGGGTGGCTCAATGGTAGAGGGCTTGCCTTGCATGCTCAAGGCCCTGGGTTCGATTCCTCAGCACCACATAAGCAAAAAGAAAAAAAGCCGGAAGTGGCGCTATGGCTCAAGTGGTAGAGCGCTAGCCTTGAGCTGAAGAACTGAGGGACAGTGCCCAGGCCCAGAGTTCAGGCCCCACGACCGGACACCCCCCCCCAAAAAAAAACAACAACAACAAAGAAATCCCCCCCCTTCAAAAGTCATGAGGCCCCAAAGTATTCGTTAAGAGATTAAAATACGTCAGAAGGCTGGAAATACACCACTCTTCCAAAAAAAGTACAAAAATATGCACATGATGTGAATCTTAAACAAGACAAAAACTAAGATATATTACTTAAATTTCCATAGAAGTTGTCTATAGTGTTACATGCATAGTGAAAACACACATGTCAACATACAAATCAGAAATTCTATACATTTGTGCTTTTCAAAGTAGCATGTTTTCTTAGCACTTTTCCAACTAGGGAAAACTATTTTTGCATTTAGTAAATGTATAAATGCAGTGCCAAAGTAGAATGCTCTAGTGATCACGTACTCCACTGCCAAGAAAAAGATTTTACTGAAATGAAAAAAAAAACCCCTAAGAATACAACATGGAACACTAATAGGATTCCAAAGTATAAAAGCATTCATGAAGAAACAAAGACAATAATTATTTACAAACCCAAGTGCTTCTATCTTTTAAAAACCGGTTTCAGTTGTCCTCTTACTGTCAAAGGAATAGGCAGAGTGAACTTACCCTATGTGTGTAACAGCCTCTCTGTTTTCACATTCAGTAGTCCATATTGCTATCTTATCGCCTTTAGCTCTAACGTTAACAACAGCTCCACATACATCATCACTGTAGTCGTCGAAAGATTCTCCAATAAGGCACAGCAGCTTTAAAAGAATTCCAAATTGCATTCAATGCATTATAAACAACTTAGTGTTTGTACACTTTCAAAATTAAGATCAGCTTTCAAATCAATAGCTGACTTTTAAAAATGACTATATTTATGTATATATTTCTGGCCTTGACTTTTTAAAGATGTTCTAATTTTCTTGGCAAATTAGGCAGCTGATATATGGACCCACAAAGAAAAAAATCAAAACAACAACAACAAAAAATTGGAGGTGTGGCTCAAGTAGCAGAGTGCCTGCAGATTTGTATACAAAAAAAAAATCCCTATACTGTCAAAATCTTTTTTAAAAGACACGGAGTCTTAGCCGGGCGTCGGTGGCTCACGCCTGTAATCCTAGCTATTCAGGAGGCTGAGAACTGAGGATCACAGTTCAAAGCCAGCCCGGGCAGGAGAGACCGTGAGACTCTTATCTCCAATAAACCACCAGAAAACCGGAAGTGGCACTATAGCTCAAGTGGTAGAGTGCTAGCCTTGAGCTGAAGAGCTGAGGGACAGCGCTCAGGCCCAGAGTTCAAGGACCATGACCCACCAAAAAAGACACTGAGTCTTGATCCTGAACCCTGTTTCTTAGAAGCCTGGAACCTGGAACTTTTGCCTACACATAACTGCTTATCTTTTCCTGTTTAACATATCTTAATAAAGCTAAAGTTCAGTTACCACATCAGTAATTTTACTGTTTGCTTCTCAGATGTAAAAAACAAAAAAGAACACACACACACACACACACACACACAGAAACATAAAAGAGGCACAAAGAACCATGCTATAAGTAAACTGAAAAAACTTAAATTATGCATAGTAACTATGGAAGAGTTGGAAGATAAATCAAAATCATTTTTTACCTAACTGATACTACAGAATGTTTCACGGGGGCTGGGAATGTGGCTTAGTGGTAGAGTGCTTGCCTAGCATGCATGAAGCCCCCGGTTCGATTCTACCACATAAACAGAAAAGGCTGGAAGTGACACTGTGACTCAGAGAGGCTCAGGGACAGAGCCCAGGCCCTCAATTTAAGTCCCAGGACTGGCAAAAAAAGAAAAGATTTGCATAACAGAACAAAAATATTTGTCAGGCTTCATAGCCTATGACTGAAATCCCAGCACTCAGAAGACAAAGGGAACAGGAGGATCTTGATTACTATAGCCTGCTTTAACATGGGTAATGTGGTCCCATGTCAAGAAAGCAAGGTTGGAGATGCAGCTCTGTAGCTCAGTGGTACAGCACTTGCCTAGCAAATACAGGGATCTGGGCTCAATTCTTAGCACCAAAAAAAAAAGTAACAAATTAAAATGTAATGTACTGTGTCAATATTCTAAAACTGTTGTATAATGTTAAAACCTTACTGTCTCTAGCCAAAAGCGATCCAGGTCACTTCGTCTCTGCTGTTTGTTCAATGTAATTAGCCATCGTCCTCCCCGTTTATTTTTCTCATCTTCCCACATAGGCTCAATACCATCCTACAGAGAAAGAACACAACAGTATTAGATATGCTGCTGTACCTCCCGTTGGGAAGACAGAACTTTGTCATTTGTTGCTATCAAACCTCTAGTTTTCACTTAATTTGGAAATTCTTAAACTTTCTGATTAGACACCACTTAGGAGGCACAGACACCCCTGAATCTAGAAAATATAAGCAAAAATTATTTAAGTGCAGGGCTAATTAATGCCCTACTCCCACCACCTGTAAAGCCCATTTGTAAATACCTCATGATCTCTGTACTTCTGTACTTCATGTAAAGAATAATTGACAACCAAAGCCATTATCAAAATCAATCTCACAATGTCCTCATAGAATAGTCTCCCAATTTCTGTGATTTGTATCCTAGCCTGTCATACCATAGCCTCGTTAAGGCAATTTAGTTATTATCTTATGCATTATCACACACTAACCTAAGTTGTGACAAGATCTCTTAAGTATTTTAATGCCTTAGTCTTCAAATAAATACACAAAATCACCAATAGCATACCTTAAAAAGTGAGTAGTCACATCCAGGCATTAAATTACTAGACAACTGGATATGGTTGTATAGACTAAGTAAAAGAAAAGAACAATTAAAAACATAGTATGTAACACAGAGTTTAGGTGCTCACATACACACACTTAGAAAACACATAACAAGTGGAATTGTTGACTATCAAAGAGTTAATTCTGAAATGGACAAAATAGACTTTAACAATGAATTAGATGCTTACAAAAATTTATAATAAGAAACTATGTTGGAGGGGATGAATACACACACACACAGACACACACAGACACACACACACACACACACACACACACAAAATACCAGTCCTAGTTCTTGAACTTGGAGCCTTGAGCTTCTTTGCTCAAGGCTAGTGCTCTACCACTTGAGCCATAGTACCACTTTCAGCTTTGTTGGTACTTAATTGGAGATAAGCTCTCAGGGGCTAAAGTGAGGTTGCTTTTTAAAAAAATAAAAAATTTATGAGGCTAATAATTAGTTTTATTTGCAAACACATCTGATCAAGTGGGGGAAAAACCCTACCTGGCCATCAAGATTAAACTGAAATAATAAACATTACCACCTTAGAGGTATCCAAGAGTAAAACAGACCCAACAATTTCCAATCATCAAAAGTTGTTACCTGTTATAATTAGCACAATAAATACACAGGGAAATTTGAGACATATATACGTATATAAAGACTGGAATATAGTCTAGCACGTACAAGGACTTGTGTTCAGGACCACAGGTAAAGGAACACCTGTTTTTAGAGACTAAACATTTTAACTTGGTGTAGTGACACATGCTGATAATCCTAGCACTTGGCAGACTGACACTAAGGCAGGAGGCTCTCCAGTTTAAAGATGATTTACTGAAACTGTCTCAAGAAGAAAAATATTTTTTTCCTTGGAAAAGACTTAATTTTAAATTGCATTTTTAAGCCATAAAGCTTATGGTTTCAAATTTTTGCTAACCTAGAAATAAGTCTCAAAAACAATTTTTCTTCCTAAAGTTTATCACCTAGTATAATGAAATTACTCCCATCACATATTCTGTGACGTTCATTTGACATTCTTCTGTATTTTGCTAACTTCAGCCTTTGCTGTCTCAAAATCCTTAGCACTGGAAATTCCAGATATTGCATTGGAAAGTGTAAGTTTAACAAGGTTTTGGAATACCCTTATGGGGCAAATGTATCTAGGCAACCACCAAAGGGAGCAAATTCTATCTCCATGTCAAAAATTCTAGGACCATGAAGGATTTAAGGGAAGTAGATGTTTCAACTAAGATTGAAGCATTCTTTTCTGTTGTTTTTTTAACCCAGTGCTGGGCCTGGAGGGCTTGTGTATACTAAGCAAAGCACACTAAGCTTTATCCTCTGCCCAAGACTGAAACTCTCTAAAAGTGTCATGAAGCATAATCACTAATTCAAACATTTGTGAGAATTAAAAAATGTTCTATAAATGGGAGTTCCACTTAAAATGAAAACCTATAAACACACACACACACACACACACACACACACACACACACACACACACACACACACACACACACACACACACACACACACACACACACACACACGGTTACTTACGCCCAAAAGTCTTCAACAGTATCAAACTTGGAGATCAGTCGAAGGTTTGCTTGCCAAGTTTTGCTTTTATCATTTTTAAAAAACCACAGCGCCCATCTAAAAATAAAAGGCAATGTAAAAAAATTTTTAAAGGTAGTTGTTTTCCCATTTTCATAGCAGTATTATTCACTGGATAATAAAGGTGGGAAGCAACCATGAGTCCATTAAGATGAACGGATGAACAAAATAGTATCAACACACAAACAACATTAATCAATTAACAAGGAAGAAAATCCTGACACCTGATACAACAGGGATGAAGCCCAAGGACACGTTGCTAAGTGAAATAAACCTATTACAAAAAAAAAAAACCAAATATTCTGATTCAATTTCTATGAAGCACCTAAGGTAGTTAAAATCAGAAAGACAAAGACTGGGCAGAGGGGACAGAGGTTATAAAATTGATGAGTGGATGAGTACTAAAGATAGTTTAGGAAATGGATTACACAACAATGTAAATGATCCAAATCGTTTTGTACTAGGTTTAAACTCTTGGTGCTCTACCACTTGAGCCATACCTCTAGTCCTAGTTTTTTGCTGGGAAACTAGAATCAAGAATCTATTAGATTTGTCTGCCTGTGATACCCTGAAACTTCCATATCAGCCTCCTGAGTAGCTAGTATTACAAGTGTGAGCCACTCAAGCCAGCTTGTGAATGTATTTTCATATTACTAAGTTTTTTAAATGGCTATCAAGGTAATAATATTTATGTGTATTTTACCATAAACACTTAGGACAATTTGAAATGATAGTTCCTACTACAATGACATCAGTTTATATTTTTTATTAAAAACAAACATTTTGTCTAGGGATATGCTCTGCAGTTAAACTGTGAGAGGCCTGGGTTTGATTTTCAGCATTGAAATTAAAAGCAAACAAACTGACAAAAGTTGTAAGACTGGGTATGACGGCATACACCTTTAATCTCAGTCTGTGCTTGGGAGGCTAAGTGCTTAGGAGGATAAGACAGGATTGCTGAGTTCAAGGAATGGGCTGCATAATAAGACTAAGTTATATCTACTATTTAACAAGATTCTGTTATATCTACTTCTCTAGAAACCTCTAGGTATCCAGAAGCTAACTCAAGGGAATTATAGAACTTCAGAGACAACTGCAATGTGCTAGGTTTTATCATAAACACAAGCAAACTCGGTTACTTAAGAAAACAGAGTAGAAACAACCATAAAGGAAAATGATAAGGCTCTATTTTGAAAGGAATGAACAGCCATCAGTCAGAGAAGATTCTGTAGTTACTGAACATATAACAGGAACAATAAAAGGACTGAGTTAACACATACATTTGGAAATAATGTTACTGTTATTTATCTGTACATACTTTTACTTAAGTTTCCTTCCTGAATAATACACAATAGCATAGATATACCTTATAATAGTTTTTCTAATATCTTGACAAATTCATGATTCACCTTTAGATGAATGAAACTCAGTATTCTCTGAAATACAATAGTTACCCCTTGGGTATCCATGGGTTCCAAATCCTCAGGTCCTGCATCCTCGTATTAGACCAACCACAAAGGGAAAATGTCAAAATAAAAGAAAAGCTCATGCTGTACCAAACTGACTTATCTCCTAGACAATACTGTGTAACAAACATTTATTTGGTGTTTTCACTGTATTATGTATTATAAATAATCTAGAAATGATCTAAATATATAATAGAATAGAATGTACAAACTTGCCATTTTACATAAAGGACTTGAGCATCTTCAGAGGTGCCGAACCAATCCTATAAAAATCTGTTGTTAAATTTCCACCTGTTTACAAAACTTTTTCACAGTCTGCATTTAAACACTTTTACTGCTTGACAAAATAAAATGCTCAGGCAACCAAAGTAAATTACTTTTTTCAATGGTATCATTTATAAACCATGATTATTTTTTGAAAAATGGACCAAATAGGACTACTGCTTAAAATTTGAGCTCTCAGAAAAAAAATTGTGATTTTGGAAAGCTTTCATTTGCCATTGCAAGCCTGATAATTTCCTAAAAAGAAATTAAAGACATTTCTGATAAGTTTAGAGCTATTAATGAATTATTAGTGTTGACACATATAGTGACAACATTTAGAAGATTCTCATTACTTGCTGAGTGTATGTTACAAACTCATATACAGATAGAAGACCCACTCTAAGTCCCACCCTCTCTGCCCCTAAAAAAATAAAAACCCAATATATTTAAATGTAACAAGAGTAGAAGGATTCTAGATTATGTTTTCAGATTCCATGTTGTAACTATAGAAAATCTAGTAAGAAGAGTGGCTACAATCACTTAAAAATTCTCCTTTTTGCCGGGCGCTGGTGGCTCATGCCTGTAATCCTAGCTACTCAGGAGGCTGAGATCTGAGGATCGCGGTTCAAAGCCAGCCTGGGCAGGAGAGACCGTGAGACTCCTATCTCCAATAAACCACCAGAAAACCGGAAGTGGCGCTGTAGCTCAAGTGGTAGAGCGCTTGCTTTGAGCTGAAGAGCTGAGGGACAGCGCCCAGGCCCAGAGTTCAAGCCCCACGACCGACCAAAAAAAAAAAAAATTCTCCTTTTTCCAAACCAGAACCAATGTAAGCCATATTTTCTTCTTGTATTTCCAATAAACCAACTCATCTCCACAAACTAAATACACATGTAACTATAATAAATGAGTTGCAGTCAGGTGCCAGTGGCTCACACCACCAATCCTACCTGCTCAGGAGGCTGAGATTGAGAAGCATGGTTCAAAAGCCAGCTCAGGCAGCCAAGTCTGTAAGACTCTTATTCTCCAATTAACTAACAAAATTCAAAGCTTACCTGTTTTGTAGAGGATGTTTAATATAGTGTTCTGGGTTAGCAACCTCCTGATTAGATTCTGTTTTCTCCTCTTCTGTAGGTGGGGGGTTAGGAGTAGGAGTGGTTTCCTAGTGGAAAGCAATGAAATACCTTAAATTTCTTGATATCCCCATGATCGCAATACTCTAAATAAACTTGAGCCAATGGTGCCAATATTTTAAAAACAGACTTAAATGCTACCTAACAACTCTAGTATCCTCTATTCTAGTTACCTCTTCCTTAAAAACAAAAGGTTTCTAAATTTTAAAATGTGGTCAAGAAAATATAGTTATCTTCTCATTTGAACATTTTAAAATAAGGACTATGGAAGATTATATAACGAAGTTGGAAGAATCAACCAGCTTTCATAACATGTCACCAAATTAAAGTACTATATTAAGGGCTTGGAGATGTAATTCAATGGTGAAGCACCTGTCTTAGCATCCAATCAAAAGACTCTGGGCTCAATCACCAACACCACAGAAGAACAAATAAAACATATTACTGTTGGGATAGGATTTAAACTTTCAAAAAGTAAAACAACTATATAGAATAACAAGAGGAAAAAAGGCTTTGTAAGTTCCTTCATGTCTTCCTGTTTACCTATGGCAACTTCAAACTTTCAATAGGCCATAAGCAAAAAAAGTATACATTGGTTTGAACTTTAAATTCTTAGGCTGTTAACACCTAAAAAATTTAAGATTGGTGTTCACCATTTTCCTTCATATTGCCTATTATAAATTGGTATCAACAAAGGAGCAGAAGCGGAAAGAAAAGCTAACAGGTAATAAGAAAACTTTATTATAACAGTGCTTGGTATCAGATTTTTCACTTTTTAACTCTTTTCTACTGGTTTAACTGTGTATAGTACAAATCCGCTGCCTGTGTACTCTACAACTGAGCCAGAGTTTCAGATTTATACCTAATAACTGAATAGTAGCCAGAGACTTGTGTTAACATAACAATACATATACATAATCTCTAAAAGAGCCCAAGCCAGACAGGTAATGCAGTGATTTTAGAGGATGCTTTCTTGATATGACCTGTAGAGGAACTCTTACATGTTTAGCTCATCAAATCATTCAGAGTAAAAGCTGTTTTTTTTTTTTTTACTTTGCTTCAGCTGTAATAACAAACAGCCACCATGCTTAACACAAAAGGAAATTATAGGTTTGATAAATTTAAATGAAAAAGTTTAAATGCCTACAGAATAGTAAAGGGTCTAACATTTACAAAAAGCAGTAGTTAATTTTTGAAAAAAAAAAAAAGATCAAGTATTTTTACCAGCATATTCTCATTAAGTTCAGGTAAGTCTCTGAATTCCTGAAGGCCAGTTTCTATCTCACTAGCTTGAAATTAACTATGCTGCCCCAGACAGACCGTGCAGGAGCCCCCAGTGGGTAAATGAAACAAAAATACAGTGACAGCTGGACCTTGGGGAACAAGATAGGAGAGAAAAATGAGCTATGGAAAAAGTGGGTTCCCAGGTAGTTATTAACTCCCATTTCCTGCATGGGGAGCAGGAAATGTTTATTTCTCCCTATTTTAACCCCGCATACTAAATCATTGCTAAATCTTAAAAAGGAGCAAGACCCCCAAAATCTAGGTAAAAGTCCCTCACAGGTCCAGTCATAATCTGGAATGGTTAGAGCATAATTCTGGGTGGCTGAGTGGCAAATACCTAGGCCAAAGCTTCAGAAGTATGCAAAGTATCAGGAAAACTGAACTCAAGATTCAGCTGAGCAAGGGGGAGTAGATGTGAACCCTTGTAAATAAAATCATAGAAAAGCCACATCATGATTTAGGAGTAAGAATAATGCAGCAAACTGAAATAAATCTACAAACAAGCCTTGACAGAATCAAACCAATTCACCTATAAAATTAACTGTGGCCGGGCTGGGAATGTGGCTTAGTGGTAGAATGCTTGCCTAGCACGCATCAAGTCCTGGGTTTGATTTCTCAGGACCACATAAACAGAAATGACAGAAGTGGCACTGTGGCTCAAGTGGTACAGTGCTAGCCTTGAGCAAAAGAAGCTCAGGGACAGTGTCCAGGCCCAAGTTCAAGTCCTAGGCCTGCCCGCCCCCACCCAAAAAAAATTAAGATTACAATGGGAGAAAAGGATGAAGATAGTCAAAGATTTTAGAAAAAGAATAAATTTTTTTTTTAAAGATAAAGAATGTCAAACTGCCAACTACAGTATGTATTCTGATCAGTATTCTCAACGCCTTGGAAAACTGAAGGCGTGGATGAGACAGACTTGAGTTCAAATTAAAAAAAAAAAAGGCCACTAAAAGTGAAGCAAAAAGGGAAAAACAGTGTAGATTTGAACTACTGGCTAAACAACATCAGAGAATGAAACAGAAGCACCACATGAAAAAATAAATGAAAAACTTATAAATCTGACTAAAAGCTAAAGTCAAATTCAGACAGCTCAGCAAATTCCAAACAGTAAAAATATAAACAAAACAACTCTGGATACCTCAAGTGTGATAAAGAAACAGCTTTCATGAAAACTACAACAGCTAACTTCTCCACAGAAACTATGAAAGCATTAGAAAACAGAATCAGGGGGAGAGAGGGGATAATGGGGCAACAAGGAAGGGAAGGGGTAACAGTGATAGACAAGTTATGTACTCATTGCCTTACTCATGTAACTGTAAGCCCTCTTAACAATAACATTAAATTTAAAAAAAAAGAAAACAGAAGTGGTGCTGTGGCTCAAGTGGTAGTCTTGCCTTGAGCTGAGGGACAGCGCCCAGGACCAGAGTTCAGGCCCCAGGACTGGCAAAAAACAAACAAACAAACAAAAACACAAAAAACAACAACTAAATCACATTTAAGTGCTGGAAAAAACTTTCATCTGAGAATCTGATCTATAGGATAAACAGCATCCAAAATATCTCTGGAACGCCCTAATGAAACCCCGTGGTACAATCAACACACACACAGAGAAATGACAGGAAATGTGCTGGGATAATGGGGTGGTGGGCACCAGTGGGAGAGATGCTAACAAAGAGGATGAATAAGGATGCCCATTGTTGGGGTAGTTTATTTGCATGCATGCAAATAGAACAATGAAATCTATTGAAACTGGTTTTAGAAGGAGGTGTGGAATGGGGAAGGATGAGAGGTTCTTAACTTCGAAACAGTCAAGTCAAATGTTTTATTACTTAAATGTGGTAAAACAAAAATATAAATCCACTTTCAGGCTAGGCCAGGCAGGCATAATGGTTCACGCTGTAAAGCCCCGCACTCTGCAAGATCTTAAGCTAAAGGCTATCCAGGGTAATAAAGACACTTCCCCCTGCATCCTCTGAAGAACAAACATCTTTCAGGCTGGTTCTACAGGGACCTACAAGCTGTTCTTTGGGGAAAGCCCCATACTTTAAAAATCTATAACATGGGCTGGGAAGGTGGCTCAGTGGTAGAGTGCTTGCCTTGCATGCATGAGGCCCTGGGTTCCATTCTCAGCACCACATAGCAGAAAAAAAAGCCAGAAGTGGTGCTGTGGCTCAAGTGGTAGAGTGGCTCAAGTGGTTGAGGGACAACGCTCAGGCCCCACAGCCAGACCCCGCCCCCCCCCCCCAAAAATCTATGGCATTACAGAGATTGAGAAATGATGTCCAGAACAAACGTCATGATGTACTAAATTCTTCAACCAAAAAGTGATGAATAATTATGGAACTATGCCAAGTCAGAACAAAGAAATGCATATTATTTTTTAAAGAACCCTAAGAGAACTGCTCTGAGGTTACTGATCAGTAAAGCATAAACTTCAATTTGCTAACTATACTTAAAAACTGCATGTAAAATTAACAGAAGGTTGGACCCCCTATCCAAATTTTAGATAAATCATGATGTTGATTCAACTGAGATACATGTTACATGTATTATCAACAAAACTCCCTAAAACTCCTTAACAGGTGTCTTTAAAAACTGTTTTATTGTTTTAATTATGCAAGATAGGAAGCATGTAAAGGAAGTAATATTATCTTATCAATCTATATGGGAACTAAAAACTGATTTCTAAGGACAAAGTTTATTTTAAGGTTACAAACCTATTTTTACAAAAGGTTGCCTCCTATAATTCAAAATGCTGCAAATTGTGTAATTTATATTCAGTTTAAAAAGGAAACTTGTTGGAGACAAGTTTCCAGCCTAGCAAGCATGAGGCTGAATTCAAACATGAATACTATCAAAAAAAGATACAAGGAAGGAAGGAAGGAAGCTAGCTATAACTGAAAATCTAGTCAGGCACTAGGGGCTCAAGCCTATAATCCTAGTTACTCAACTCAGGTGGCTGCGATATGGAGGATCACAAAGCCAATCTCAGCAGACAAGTCCTCTTGTCTCAATCTCCAAAACTACCAGCAGAAAAATGTGCTTGGGATGTAGCTTAACTACTAGTGGGTCAACAGAGCAAGCAAGGCAAGCAAGCTAAGAGGCTCTAAATTCAAACCCTGGAACCAGCAAAAACACATACATACATACAAACCTTTTTCTTTTTTGAGGTTTGAATTCAGGGCTCCATTCTTACAAGGCAGCTGCTTTACCACCTGAGCCACACCTCCCATCCTTTTTGCTTTACTTTTCCATGTTTTTGCCTTGGACCAGGATACTCTTACCTATGCCTTCAACAGAGCTGAACCCACAGGAATGAGTACCTCCAGATTATTAGCTGACACGGGATCTTACTTTTTTCTGGGCTAGCCTCAAACCCAGACCTCAATATGCCTAATCTTTGCCTCTAGAGAAAATGGGATTACAGGCATGCATAACCACACCCAGAAAAATAAAACAAAACTTTACTACAAAGATCTACTAGATCCCTATCATTACTCTCTCAGCTTTGTGGATCTCCCAGTAAGAAAACTTCACTAGAAATTATGTCTTCAACGTCCATGGTTTACGAATCACCTGGACAAAAAAAAGGGCTAATTTAACATATTTTGGTCAACCTAAAAAGATGGCATGCCTTTGAAAAGTCACTATGTAACACATTTCAGGTGGGCAGAAAAAGGAGGAGCAAAGCTATAAGGCTGTGCTGTATCTAGAAGATGGGTACCAGGGTCCCCAAGAGGTGTTA